GACTTCGTAGTCGTAGGCTTCGCAGCCTTGCCGAGATTCCACTCGAGGCATACAACTTCGTAGTTGTTTGGGTCGACTTCGTAGTCGAAATCTAATTGGCTATATAGCCGTTTCGAAAATGTCAACTTATTCAACAATCACAGAAAAAGCCGAAGCGTAAATATAGACATTAGAAATGCAGAAAATTTGTTTCATTACTGGATAAAATTTGATCGTTGCCCAGTACAAAAGGAGAATTCAAAACATTGTTTAAGCATAAAAACGTTTGAGGTGGATCACATGCCAAGATCGCGGCAGTTGTCGACCCTCTGCATCTTCAAGTTCATATGAACCTCTTTCAAGCACCTTTGTGACTGTGTATGGCCCTTCCCAGTTAGCTTCTAACTTCCCGACATGCTTGAGAGCGTCGGCTCGTTTTAAGACGAGGTCTCCCACTTGAAAACGCCTGGTTCGGACTTTCTTGTCAAAAGCTTCACGCATCTTTTGCTTATACTCCACAGATCGTAGCCAAGCTTCCTCTCGTATTTCCTCTATCATGTCGAGGGCTTCTTTTGCTAAGTCCTCATTGCTTTTCTCTTTGTAAAACGTCGACCTATGAGACTCCAAGCCTACTTCGATGGGCAGTAGAGCGTCCATTCCATAGACCATGTGGAATGGCGATTGTCCTGTTGAACTCCTTGGAGTCGTCCTATAAGCCCATAGGACCGTTGTCAGCTCGTCGACCCATGCTCCAGATGCTTTTTCCAGCCTCTTCTTCAGTCCCTGTAAGAGGGTTCTGTTTGTCACCTCGACTTGGCCATTTGCCTGTGGATGTGCAACCGAGGCGAATCGCTGTTTGATCCCCATGTCGACGCACCACGCTTGGATCCGCTTTCCTTGGAACTGTGTTCCATTATCCGAAATCAAGATCTTTTGAACCCAAAATCGACAACAAATATTGTTGAACAAGAATTGTATCATTTTGTCCTCGGTAATTTTCGCCAAAGGTTCTGCTTCTACCCATTTACTGAAGTAGTCGATGGCGACCACCATGAATTTCCTTTGTCCTGTCCCCATCGGAAATGGGCCTACTAAATCGATTCCCCATTGAGCAAAGGGGATCGGGCAGTTGATCGTTGTCATTGCTTCGGCTGGTATGTGGGGGATTCGACCGTGGCGTTGGCATTTGTCGCAAACTTGCACCAACCGCTCGGCTGCTTTCCGGATCTTGGGCCAATAATAGCCCGCTCGAAGAGCTTTGCCAGCCAGGGCCCGCGATCCAATATGCGCTCCGCAATACCCCTCATGGATTTCTTTCAAGACATGTCCTCCTTCTTCCTCAGAAACGCATCGCAGGTGGGGTCCGATCATCGACTTCTTGTACAAGACCCCTTCTACCTCAAAGTATTTACTCAGATATCGGGCTGCTTTTTCTGCCTCCTGCTTTTCTCCTTCTGGTACTCGTCCTTGTAACAATTCGCGAATCGCTCGTCGCCAATCTTGTTTTTCGTCGACTTCCATTGCCTCATTCAAGACACTTCCCTCCAAGTGCAGTGTAGTGATATGATTCCCCATCTTCCCTTCGTTCGAACTTGCGATTCTGGCGAGCCAGTCGGCTCACTTATTCTCCTCTCGGGGTACTTGTGTCAACTCAAACCTTTCTAGGTCTCGCACTAGATTCTGGATTTCCTCGACATATTTGATCATCCGGCCCTCTTTGATTTCACAATTTCCCAGCACTTGCCCCACGACGAGCTGTGAATCGGAGTACGCCATGACTTCCGTTGCCCCGCCACCGACTGCCAATTGAATTCCCTTAATTAGAGCTTCGTATTCTGCCTCGTTGTTCGAGGCCTTAAACCCCAGTCTGATGGCGAAGTCAAGCTGTTCACCTTCGGGGGATACTAGGACGATCCCCTGACCAGACCCCCTGGCCGCCGAGGACCCATCAACGTGCATTGCCCATTTCTTGCTAGCTCCCTTAGTTCCTTCTTGGATGAAGTCGGCCAAGGCTTGGGCTTTTATGGCTCGTCGTGGTTCGTATTTGATAGAGTATTCACTGAGTTCGACTGCCCACTTTACGAGTCGACCCGAAACAGTGGGTCGACCCAAGGTTTCTCCCAGCTGAAAGTTCGTCCTTACAATTATCACATGGTTTAAGAAATATGGCCTCAATTTTCTGGCTGTGACTACCAACGTTAAGGCGGCCTTCTCGACTTCAGAATATCTTGTCTCTGCGCCTTGAAGTACTCGACTTGTATAGTAAATCGGTTGTTGGGCTCCTTCAGCTTCTCGCAGTAACACAGAACTTAGGGAAAAAATTCCCACCGAAATATAGAGAATTAGCTCATCGCCTGGCTCTGGCTTTGTCAACAACGGTAGCTCGCTTAAAAATTTCTTCAACTTCTCAAATGCCATTTGAGCCTCATCATTCCATTGAAATGCTTTTTTCTTAAGTAACTTGAAAAATGGGAAACTCTTTTCCGCAGCTCGAGCTATGAATCGGCTCAGGCCTGCAATTCGACCCGTTAGGACCTGTACTTCTCTGACATTTTTTGGCGGGGCCATGTCGAGTATGGCTTGCACCTTGTCCTTATTTACCTCAATGCCTTTCTCAGTCACGATATAACCTAGGAATCGTCCTGCCTTCACTCCGAAGGCACATTTGTTTGGGTTCAACTTCATCCCATAAGTTCTCAGCGTCTTGAAAGTTTCCTTCAGGTCTTCTACGTGTGAAGTCGAGGACTTACTTTTCACCAAGATATCTTCCACATACACCTCCATATTGCGTCCGATCTGCGACCTGAACATTCGATCCATCAACCTTTGGTATGTTGCTCCCGCATTTTTAAGCCCAAAGGGCATAACGACATAACAATACGTCCCTTTGCTTGTGACAAAGCTAACTTTGCTTTGGTCCTCGGGGGCCAACGGGATTTGGTGGTACCCCTGGGATGCATCCATCATGCTCAGCAGCTCGCAACCCGCTGTGGAATCGACTAGCTGATCAATCCTTGGCAGGGGGTAATGGTCTTTGGGACATGCCAAGTTTAGGTCGCGGAAGTCGATACACATACGCCATTTGTTCAATGCTTTCTTCACCATTACAGTGTTGGATATCCATTCGGGAAATTGGATCTCTTTGACGTGCTTGGCCCTTAACAACTTATCTACCTCGACCTCGATTGCTTTATCTATCTCAGCCCCATGGTGCCTGAGTCGTTGCTTGACGGGTTTTTTGAGGGGGTCGACATTGAGCTTATGTTCCATGACTTCTGGATCGATTCCTGTTAGTTCCTCTGGAGAGAAAGCAAAGACGTCTCTAAATTCCCTCAACAGTTCAACCAGTTGCCCCCTCAACTCGTCCTCCAATTCTTTCCCGACCTTAGTGGTCTGATCCTCCCCTTCTCCGATCTGGATTTCCATCAGCTCTCCGTGTGGTTCGAGATCGTTTCCCCTCGGCCTTTTTTCATTTGATCCCAGCTTTTTTCCTTCTTTTGGCTCCGTTCGCTGGTTCATTCTTACCGCTATCTGGTAACACGCCCTGGATAGTTTTTGATCTCCTCGAGCTTCTCCCACCCGGTCTCCGATTGGAAATTTTAACTTCATATGGTAAGTCGACACCACAGCTTGGAAAGTATTCAGTGCTGGTCTTCCAAGGATCACATTATAAGCTGACTCGACATCGACCACCACAAACCTTATCATCTTCACCTTTCTCAGGTCTCCTTCTCCTAAGACGACAGCAAGCGTGGTTTCACCCAAAGGCACAACCTCCAAGCCATTAAAATCGAAAAGAGACGTGTGCAAGGGTGCCAGTTCGATGTCGAGGTCCATCCTTTTGAGACAATCGTAAAAGATCACGTTTACTGAGTGATATAACCCTATTGTCGCGGTCCGATTCGGCTAGAGGTTGCTCGATTAAAGACTGTAGACGATCCCACTAGGACGAGACAAGCGATGTCGACTCGGCCCATAAGATACCCAGAAATCGTCCAACCGATCATGGTACTTAGTCGACCTCGTAGAGTCGACCGTACACAAGACGACCGCACTCATGATGACGAGCAAGCGTTCTCATAAACCTCACATAGTTGTGTAACTACAAATCGACTCGACAAGACTACAAATCGACTTATACGGATCTACAGTAACTCAATGAGTAGATGCGACACATGGAAGGCTCCTAGGCACAAGCTTATAACAGGATAAGAGGGAATCTAGAGGCTGACTCAGGAGTAAGCAGAATGTGGACCGACCAGGGCATTTTGGGTACTTCACGTGAGTCGGCCGGGGCATTTTGGGACTTCAAAGTAAGTGTTTCTACCCCTATATAAAGGGGCTGAGGTAAACCTAAACCCGATCTATTATTCTCATTCAGTACTCAGCTGCTGCTCCCCCTGAGCAGAGCTCTCTCTCTCTCTCCCTTCACTTACTGACTTGAGCGTCGGAGGCTCTTCACCGGAAAACATTTCCGGTGTTGAGTTCTTGCAGGTGTTTGCTGGGGTCTACGAGCGGCTTGGAGGCGATTCGAGCAGACCGGAGCTCATTCTCACCGGTTCACTCCGGATCTAGGAGGAGACCCATCAAATTGGCGCCGTCTGTGGGGAGTTCTTGAAGGAAGTAAGAGCTTCACACCTAGTTCCGATCTGTTTGACATGGCGGAGAAAGAAAGATTATCGAGGAATCTAAACGAGGATTTCAGGGCAGCTTGGACGGACAAGCGGCCGCCGTTAATTCCCGGCCCTAGACCACCGCTTCAGGTTCTCGGTTTTCCACCTTTTGGGGGACACGCGCCGTCGGGGGTACGTGTTGAGGAAGAAACACCCATCACACCCCCCGGGGTAAAGATTCCGGGGATAACACCAGGAGAATCTAGTCAAATGAAGGGCGCGAACACGAGATCCGACGGCCGCGAGTCCACAGAAACGACTCTGAGCCTTGGAAAGCAATCTAGAGTGCTGGAGCAAGTGACGATGCCGCCACCCCAGGTTGAGGA